AAAGAAAGAAGAGGAAAATTAAAACATTCCTAGATTTAAAAAACTGAGAGAAATTGTTGATGGTAGTTTTGTCCTCTGAGAAATATTAAAGAGATTCCTTCAGGCTTAAGTGTAAGAACACTAGATGGTGCCTCAAGTACTCACAAAGAAATAAAGAGCTCAGGTAAAAATAGCAAAGTAACTTGAAAAAAGACAGTATAAATGCTTTTTGTTTTGTTTTGTTTTTAATTCTTTTCTTCTATGTGATTTAAATGACAACTGTATAAACTACATGATTATAGGGTTGAGGGTGGAGGTCAGTGGTAGAGTGCTTGCCTAGTATGCATAAAACCCTGGGTTTGATTCTCAGCAATAACAACAATAACAAAAAGCAATAATTATAAAACTGTCTTGATGGGCTCAAATATATATAAAGATGTAATTTTCATGGCTATGATAACATAAAAAAAAGACTTCAAGAAAGTCATTGAGGTCAAATCAAAAAGGACTTCAAGAGAGTCATTGAGGTCAAGTCAAAAGCAAGAGCATGAAAAGCGTTCACTGTTGAACTATAGGGTTGGGATTTTGACAACTGGAACAGGTGTATTTAGGAGAGAGAAGTTGCCATATTCAAAGTTTGTGTTCATGGCTCTGTGTATTGATAATGGTGAGTCATTTTGGAAAATAAAAGAAATAATAAACTTAGGCAATTACATACTGATGCAAGTCCTTAAAGTGGTGTTGTAAGAATTAACAAGATTTAGATGGGGGGGGGGTGCCCCCCAAATCAGCCATTTTGCAAAGCAGATCTCTTATTAAACTATTTGCATATGAATCAAAATATTTTGTTAACTTTTGTCTCTGGTTCCCGACACAGAGTTCCCTAAAATTCTTGGAATTCCTTGAGTAACAGGAGTGTCTTTTGCTATTCAGAAGGAACCCTTTTTGTCTTTGTGTATAGCAGTGAAAAAACTCAAGTTGGGTTCCTAGATAGCTTCAGAATGGGGCTGGTCATCAGACAGCACACATGATTAAAGGATTGGAACTTAAATATATATATAAAATTTAGTGGTTAATGGACCTTTATTTATTTATTTATATGTGGTTCTGAGAATCAAACCTAGTGCCTAACACATATTAGGCAAGCGTTCTACCACTGTGCCATAACCTCAGCCCCAAAGGGTTAAAACTTTTAACCTCATTCACTGATCTCTGGGGATGGTGGCTGGAGATTAATTTGTGTGAAAACTCTTGAACAATGAGATATCATGAGCTTCCAGGTTGGTGAATACATCTACGTGCCAGGAGAGTGTGCCCTAATGCCACAAGACAGAAGCTCCTGTCCCCAGAGCCCTTCTGGATTTCACCCTATGAATGTACTTCTTCAACTGGTTGTTCATCTGCATCCTTGATAATATCCATTTTAATAAATTGGTGAATGTTTCTCTGAGTTTTGCTAGCTGTTCTAGCAAGTTATGAATCCCAAAGATGGGGTTTTAGCAACTCCTAATTTATAGTCATTTGGTTAGAAGTATGAGTAGCCCAGACTTGTGACTAGCATCTGAAGGAGGGTGCAGTCATGTGGGGCTGAGCTCTTTGACTGTTGGGTTTGTTCTGTTAGGTCATTAGTGTCAGAACTGAATTACATTGTGTCCTGTTTTTAATATTCCAGTGGTACTTTCTGGGAAATAAGGTGGGATGAGGCACACACAGTCACACAATCTTAACTTTCCTAATGCTCAATGAAATGAACAAACCCATTACAATTCCTGCCATTAGAACGTCCAACTGGTGTTTGCAGAGAATTAGTTGTTGATGTTAGGAAACACCCAAGAGTATAATATTAGCACAAGAAAAGTAATTAAATCAATAGAACAGACTGTAAGTTCAAAAGTACATATAGATATAGTTAGGAACTTCACCTGTGACAAAAGTCTTATTGTAATTCATTGGCTGAAAACATAAGTCATAAAATATGTTATAAATCTAGTATGAATTTGGGATAAAATAGTCAAGACTGCTGTTTATATTCAAAGCAGAGATAAAAGACCCTAGATGGATTAACTAAATAAACATTACTCAGTAACAAATATTCAAAAGAAATTTAGGAGAAAGTATGAAGTTGGTATGGGGAGGTCTTCTAAATCAGATTAGAAATCCAGGACAAAAGAAATTATAGTATTTTTTGATTACACAAAATAAAAAAATAGTATTTTAAATGACATTGTGTCCTGTTTTTAATATTCCAGTGGTACTTTCTGGGAAATAAGGTGGGATGAGGCACAGTCACACAATCTTAACTTTCCTAATGCTCAGTGAAATGAACAAACCCATTACAATTCCTGCCATTAGAATCAGTTGAAATTATTCTAGCAATATCCAGACTTGAAAGGCAATCAAACATCTGACATAAACTTTGAAGGAAGTAGAGATTTGAAAATAAAGGATATATGCTGGCTACGGTGGTGTGTTCCTGTAATCTCAGTGATTTGAAATGCTGAGACAGGGGGATTGCCAGTTAAAGGCAAACCTTGCCAATTTAGGGACATCCTGACTTGAAATAAAAAATAAAAAGGGCTGGGCATGTAACTCAGGGGTAAAGGGCCTCTGGGTTCAATCCCCAGTTCCAGGAAATAATAAATAAACAAACAAACTTAATTATTTATTAGGTTTAATCATTTGTGTGCTCATTCTCTTGAATTGTTAAAGAAGACAATCACATCACTTACCAATAATGACCGTCTTCTTTCTCATTCAACCCTGTTGTTTCACTCTTGTTAGGTAGAATCTCACCAGAATTGGTGACACAAGCACCTTTATTTTATTCCTGGCTTTAAAGAGATGCTTCTTTTTTGGGGGGGGAAATTTCCTCGAACTTTCATCTCCCATTTCTTCTAATTTACTTATTTTGATTATAAAAAAATTTTAGACTCTAATGTATTTATGTGTACATATTTTTATTTATTTTTTCTCTCTCTTGTTCCTCCCCTGCACTCCCCCCACCCCTTTTCTTTCATCTTTCTGTGGTATTGGGGATGGGAATGAACTTGGAAGCCCCTCTCTGAACTGGGAGCAATTTCCTCCTGCTGAGAAAAAAGCAAAAGAACTGCATCTCTGACAGGTGCCAAAGAAGCTGAGAGTGGCGACTGCTGGCTCCTCAGGCCTGTCTAGCACCACACAGGCAAATACTCTGCCTATGTGCATTTCCTGCCTCTCTCCTTGAAAAGTTCTGCTTATCCTCAGGGATTTCAAAGATAGAATATTTGGAAACAGTTAGGTTTCTTCTATCTTCCTTCAAAACTGGTTTTGACTGCAACCTGTATTCCTACCAATATGACTCTGAATAGTTCTCGAGTAGTGAACATTGTAGCCTAGCCTCTTTGACCCTCAGGTGGTGTTAGAGTTGCTGGGTAACAGAACCCAGTGTCTTGCACATGCTAGGCAAGTGCTCTGCCTTTGAGCTACATCCCCAGCTTATGTGCACATATTTTAACAATTAAAAAATTAAAGAGAAATAATAAAAATTAAAGAGAATTCCTTAAAGCTGAATGACATAGATCCCAGCAAATTCCCTGCATGATGAATCACAAAGGGACCATAAATAGTCCCAATTATAATGAATTTCAGGGAATAATGATTTCCAGAGAGATAAATTTAAAGGTAATCACCAAAAGAATAGAAACCAGATGTATACTTTCTAAATCATTACAAAAAAGAAAATACCAGAAAGAAAACGATAAATCATCCAATGTCAGGAGGGAGCGCTGGGGGTGTTGCTCGGTGGTAGAGACTCTAACATGTGTGAGGCCCTGGGGTCCATCCATTCCTAGCACTGGAAAAAAACAAAAACAAAAACAAAACAAAAAAACCCAAACCAACTAACCAACCAGACAAGCAAAAAGCAAAAACAAAAAATCAAAGAAAGAAAGAAAAAAATATGATAAATCCAAAATATCAAGTTATATGACAGAAAAATTTAAAATGCAGAAATAATTATAATTGAGGTTTTTGAGTTTAATTCTAATAATAAAGGATAGGAACTCAAGTTGGCTTTAAGAAAATCCCATTCTATGTTATTTGTAATGTACGTATACATATATTTTAAATAAAACAACACAAATGTGTTAATAAGGGGAAACATATTCTAGACAAATGTTACTGTAAATAGTACAAACAAAACACTATATTTAGAAAGAGACCACCTAAGGACAGAGGATTTTGTTTTTCCCATATGGGTAATTAGGTAAGTACTCAATGAAATGATGAGATAGAGGATATTTCTTCAACATCAGGTTGGCAAGAATTTAAAATTTGTTGGATAAGGTATAGATAAATGAGTGTCCTACATGATTGTGGAGAGGATAAATTGATATATTCTTTTTGGAACAATCTGACAGGCCAGGTATATATATAGTTTCTAGTTTTAAGATGTCTCTACTCAGCAATTGTATCTCTAGATATACAGCTAAGAGAAATATTTGCTTCTTAATACAAATAGGCAGATATAAACCTATTCACTTCAGTATTATTTATGTAAGCAAAAGATGCAAATGTCTTACAAGTGCATCGATAGGGAGTCATTAAATAAGATTTGATGTATCTGTGCAATGGAGTACCATGCAGCCTTTAATAAGGAAGTGGGCAGTAAGTTGATCAATGAATACTAAGTTACAGTGAGACAGGACCAAGAAGTGCTGGTGTACCCTTGCATGGCAAGGTGACTATAAGGAACAATCATGCACTATAAATTTCAAAAAGTTAGAAGAAAATACTTGAAAGTTTTCACCATAAAGAAATGATAAACATTTGAGGAGATAGATATGTTTAAGCATTATGCAATGTATACATATATCAAAATACTGTATGGTACCCCATTAATAAATGCAATTTTTATGTTAAAGGAAAAAGAGGTAGACAGTGTTGTGAAAATGTCCTCAATACCCATTTTTAGGCAGAAGTATGTTACAGTGAAAAGTTTGTGAAAAAATATCCCCCAACCTACCATATATGTTTGTGTACAGTTATCCCTCAGAATCCTCAGAAGATTGGGAGCAGGAAGCAATGGATATCAAAATTCATGGATTCTCAAGTCTCCAATATAAAATGGTGAAGTATTTTCATGTAACCTGTGTACATTCTTTCATATGTATTAATAAACCTCTAGATTACTTGTGGGATCTATATATATGCTATATAAATGCTATGTAAATAGTTGTTATACTGTTATTTAGGGAATAATGACAAGATAAAAAGTTGGTACATTTTTTCCCTAAATATCTTCAATACACAGTTGAATCTGTGTGTAGGGAGGCCCAATTGTATGCTTCTAGGTATATGAATATTCACAGAAATCTATCTGAAAAGATACCGGTCCAGTTGTTATCTCTGGATTTGGGGCCCAGAAATGGAGTATGCTTCTTATTTTACTGCCCAAGCTATTTGTGAATATGTGCCTTAAATTAGTGGTCAATAGAGTGCCCTCTCTCCCATGACCACGTGTATAGCCGAGGGATGTAGCATCTCCCTTCACCATGACACCTGGTAATCACCTATTAAGGAATTATAGTCTTTTACCTGTATAATCTGGGCTCACTGAATGATTCTATGGCCCAAAGAAGGAATCCATCTATTAGGGGAGATAGCTTTGGAACTGTTTAAATTGGAAGCTGAAACTGACTTGCTTTAGGTTTCTCAGAAAAGTGAACCACTAGGCAGGGGATGAGGGTAACTGTATACGTATTGGAGGGAGGAGATTGGTTTTGATTAAGAAGGGAAATCGCTTTGCCACTTCCTCGTAGAGAAAAAGAAGACTGAGTCTGTCATCCACAAGACTCTGGGTTTCATATAATATTCCCATGTTCGGTAACAATAATGGTCAATGGCAAACTTGTGGTGACTTATTAAAGACAAGACTCCTCAGGATCTGCACACTGTGAGAATTACGTTTTGGGTCACTTCACTAGTAAAAAGAATCCTGACTCCACTGAGGTGCTGGGAGACAGGAAGGAATCATGACAAACTTGGTGGAAAGAGGAAACTATGATTGTCAATGTGAAAGAAGTCATGGAGAGATAAGCATATAGCAAAGGAAAGAAGGTTGCCTGCAAAGAGGCTGAAAGGGAACCAGCCTTTAGAAGGACAAGTTTACCATGCAAAAACTACACAGGTATTCCAAGGGAAACCTTGCAAGATTACCAGTGTTAATGAGTTTTGATCAGTATCCTCAGGCTGGCAAAACTCAGCACTTTCTGTTTTCATGAGATTTTCTTGTTCACAGCAAGTCATGACACGTCTTTAGGCATCAGCATTGCAAAAGTCAGAGATAAGTTGTTTTTCTTAGGAAGTCAGCAATTTATGGGAAATACTCAAAGTTTATTTTGGGGACCAGAAAGAGAACTATGTTTTTTTTTTTTTTTTTAATCCTCATGCAATTTATCAGCAAGATTTTCTCCCTTTGACTTTGTAAGGATGGCCTTAGGCCTTAGCTTAAGCAACTCCATTTTAAAACTCCAGTTTGAAACCTGCAGTCTCACCAGGCACACCTACGGAGCCCTCCAGTATGGCCCTCAGGCACCAAACAAGTCACTTCTCCCCACCTTGACAAGCTCAGAGTGAAGTCTTCGGTTACAGTTGTCCTTGCCCTGATAAGGGGGAGAGGCAAGAAAATCAGGTTGGGGACCACCAGACCCCATGCTTTAATCCTAGGGCAAATGATATCACTGAGAAATCCAGTGTCAGCTGATAGGGATTGAAAAGGTGGCCAGAAGCCCCCAATTTTAGTATAAATGATGGAGAAAATGGCAGACATTCAGCCAGCCAACACTGATGCCCTCACAGTGGAGAGCCTGACAAGGACCTAGACTGACATCCCAACTCTTCTCATCCTGCCTGATCTTCTGTGTTGTTCTCAGCACTCTCAAACTCTACAGCAGCCTCTTGACTCTGGTGAGAAAAGGACTTCTCCCTATGACGGCCTCCTCAGCCAGCCGTCAGCTCCACCCCAAGAGAAGCCTGCCTTGGTTCCTGACCAGATCACTGGGGTTTGAATGAGTGTGCATCTGCTGGACTTAGAGCCTAAGGCTCGAGACTTTTGATCTGACTCTTGAACTCAGCATGCAGAGGGAATGTCTGTCATGAGCCTGTCATGATTAAGTGTGTTTGCAGTGCTTAGAATTAATCTAGAATTGTTTGCTGTGAATTATGTCTATTGCAGTGTCTAGCATTAAGGATTATCGTTTTCTTGATTAAGAATCTATAGAGTGAAATCGTATTGAGTAATTTGAGTGAATCAAGCATTGAAAAGAGCAGAAGCATGTGGACATTCTTTATTTCTCCTCCTCAACTGCATAAGTCGTACCTTTGCCCATTGCGACAGACTTTCACTGTATATCCAGAATTTGAATGCCCCACCGTCTACATGTGCACACGAACATTAGTTCTCACCTCAACCTCCTTACCTGTTGAGGCCATCTGTCTTCAGTGACAGCACAGTGGGGCATTAAAGTGCCCCTTCCCAGCCCAATGCTGAATGACAACACTGTTCCAATGCCAGAACTTCCTGTGTTATTTCACATAACACAATGCTCTTTAGTTCTATCCATTTTCCTTCAAATGACATAATTTAATTCTTTAGAGTTGAACAGAACTCCATGGTAGATATATACCACATTTTCTTGATCCATTTGTATGTTGACAAGTACCTAGGCTGATTCCATAATTTGGCTATTGTAAATTATTTTGATATAAACATGGGCATGCATGTATCACTAAAGTATGTTGACTTTAATTATTTTGGATAAATACTGGGGAATGATATACATTTGGGTCACATGGTGGTTTCATTCCTAATCTTTTGAGGAACCTCCATAGAAGTTCCTCTATTTCCATAGAGGTTGTACTAATTTACAATCCTACCAACAGTGTAAAAGTGTTCCTTTTCTCCCCCTTATCCTCTTATTTATTTATTATTTGTATTCTTTAAGACTGCCATTCTAACCTGGAATCAGATGAAATCTCAGTGTAGTTTGGATTTGCATTTCCCTAATTTCTAAAGATGTTGAACATTTTTTTTCATATATTCTTTTGGCCATTTGTATTTCTTCTTTTGAGACATGTCTTTTTAGCTCATTTGAGACCTAACTTCTTAAAGATCCCACCACTTTCCAATAACATCAAGCTGGGAATCTAATCTCTAACACATGGCCTTTTGGGGACATTCCAGATTCAAACTATAACACCAACCTGAAACATATGCTAATCAACTTTTCCAAGAATAAATAAAAGCAAATCCAGAAAGCCAAACTGGAAACACCTGATGTGTTTATCAAAAGGGAAATGCTTCACAAAGGCATGATGAATATATGATGAAATGAGATGCAGGTGAACAAAGCATATTTTATAAGCTGATGTGCAGAAATGTTTCTGATACATTGTCAATTCATTTAAAAAAACGCAAGTAGCAGAAGATAATTCAATTTAAATAGAAAAAATAATCTTCAAGGTATTTGCTTTGCTTCTCCACACACTGGATCCTTCCTCCTCCTTCTCTTCTTCTTCTTCTTTTTTTGTACTGGGGATTGAACTCAGGGGTGCTTTATGACTGAGCCGCATATCCAGTCCTTTTTTATTTTTTATTTTGAGACAGGTCTTGCAAAGTTGCTGAGGGTTTGTCCTCAAACTTGCCATTGTTTTGACTCGGTGCCCCCGGGTTGCTGGGATTACAGTGTGCACTACCATTCCCATCAGGTTTCTTCCTCTTGAAAGAGATGTGTGCATGGACTCAGAGTACACTCCTTGGGGAGTTTGTTGGGGCTCCTGGGATGACATGGAAGCCTATTTGTGAATAGTACCTGTGCAGAGAGTGAGGTCAAGGTGTTGGGCAGCAATGTTGGTTTAATTCCTGGGTGTCACCTCTACCTGGGAGACATGGAGATGTGATCTTGAAAATGTAACAAAGTGGCTCTCAACCTTGGCCCATCATCCAAAATTCCTCCCAAGATGCTTCTGCCAATCAGTTGGTTGTTTAAGACGGTGTCTTGAACAATTCCCAACACAGATTTGATGTTCAATAGAAGTTTTCTCCTTTTACTAATTCCTTCTCTCCCATTTTAGCCAGATATCCTAGTCTCTATCATCTTCTTTCCTCCTGAGTAAAGTGAGAAGAGTGAGGCTGGACCTGGGGAACTTGATGGCTGAGGCCCCAGAGGAGGCTCAGACACTGAATATTGGGGGTAGGACTGCACAAGACTAGAAAATGGGCTTCTCTAGTCCTGGAGGGCAAGATGGAAATACCAACAATTCTGAGAAATTTAGAGATAGGAAGTGAATGGAGATGTAAGGAACAGGAGCAAAAATAACAGACTGTCCCTTCTGATCCAGCTCCACCTCTCACATGATAAAAATGAAGAAGTCAGGGGAGCTCCACTAAAGAGGAAAGAAAGGGAGTAGACACACCCTGTAGAATGAGACCAAAGCTGGCCCATGCCCAGCTCCCCCACATGCAATCTCTGTCTGTGTTCCAGTTGAAATTTATTCGAAGTATTACTTACTGTCCAAGGTTGAAGAAGAGGAACATCCCCAAATACAGAATCCTGGGCTTTGGGGCACAAAGACCAATAAGAGCCCATCATCTATATGGCTCCTCCTTTAGTCCCTCCCACCCCAGCTCTCCAGGATTTAGTTCTGGCTGCTCTGAGTGACTTCCCACCTTGTAGTCATTGCTGCACAACGAGGCCACGAATCCAGACACCAGGCTTCCCACAGGTAACTGGGCTGGGGATGCCAGTGGGCCCAAGGAGACAGGGGATGTGTTTGAGGAAACAGGGAGAGGGGGCTTTGGGTCTTAGGTGGGAGAAAAGGGGAAGAAATATGACGGGTCAGTGTGGGATTTAACAACCAAGTGGAGATTTGAGACTCTATTCCTGTCCCTGGATTCTAGATTGTATCATGCAGCC